GTGGATTTTAGAACATCTTCCAAGTGAGCCCTGCTCTGGATCCTTCCAGGATGCTCGGTTAGGACACGAAGAGGGGGATTCTCGACATAGGTTCGTGGCGCGCCTGAAGCAGCGTGTGTGGTGGGCCACCCCATCAGTGCCCTGCTGGCCCGGACTGTGCAGGCTCCTCTAAGCCACTCGCCAGGGAAGGAAACCCCACCGTGGCTTTAAAGCCACCCAACCAACCCAAAACCCAATTTATGTTTTCTTGGATTCAACGCAGAGGCTTGATTTTACAGCCACGGGCTTCCATTGTGCCTATATTTATTTTGGATGAGGGATCCCTCCATCTGCAGCAGCTTCACACTAGCTCTGCTTCCTAGTCCTTGAAAGAGAGTCTACCTTCTGGAGGGCCAACAACAGGGCAGAGAAGCTGAGGCCTTCCCATGATAAGGACATCAGAAGAGCCCTGCTTTGTCAGGCCAGTGAAAGTCCATCCAGTCCAGCATCCCATCTCTCACAGCGGCCAACCAGTTCCCCTGGAGGGCCAACAACAGGGCAGAGAGGCCAAGGCCTTCATGAGAACATCAAAAGAGCCCTGCTGGGTCAGACCAGTGAGGATCCCTTTAGTCCAGCATCCTGCCTCACACAGGGGCCAGCCAGTTCCTCTGGAGGGCCAGCAACAGGGCAGAGAGGCCAAGGCCTTCCCCTGAGAGGAACATCAGAAGAGCCCTGCTGGGTCAGACCAGGGTGGGTCCCACTAGTCCAGCAGCCCATCTCTCACAGTGGCCAACCAGTTCCCCTGGAGGGCCAACAAACAGGGCAGAGAGGCCAAGCCCTGCATGAGAACACCAGAAGAGCCCTGCTGGGTCAGACCAGTGAGGGTCCACCTAGTCCAGCATCCCGTCTCACACAGTGGCCAACCAGTTCCCCTGGAGGGCCAGCAACAGGACAGAGAGGCCTAGGCCTTCTCGAGAGGAACATCAGAAGAGCCCTGCTGGGTCAGACCAGTGAGGGTCCATCCAGTCCAGCATCCTGTCTCACACGGTGGCCAGCCAGTCCCTCTGGAGGGCCAACAGCAGGGCAGAGAGGCCGAGGACTTCCCCTGAAAGGAACATCAGAAGAGGAACTTTTCCCCACCATAGAGAACAATGGAGGGGATGGGGCAATCTGTTTGAGGGCCCGTAAAATTGGACCCCCTGGTCCAATACTCTTGAAACTTGGTTGGTATCTTGGGGAGAGGCTCCAGCAGCTACCCTGCGAGTTTGGAGTCTCTTCCTCAAACCCCCTTCGCCTCCATCCCCCAGAATATACCCTATGTTTTTGCCATTGACTCCAATGGCCCATAGGATATAATGGGGCTGAAATCTGCTCCTACTGACGAAACTGACATGCAGGAGTCTTACTGTCAGCAGAAATTGATTTTGCCCATTCCCCCGAATCCAAATGGGCTGAATTTTCTTTTTTGGCACACCCCTAGTTGGAAAGTGCATTGAAAGGGCATTATTGTGTGTGTGTCACACAGTGGCCAAAAATGTCAGGTGCCATCAGGATACAGTGGGCCCAGGACACTAGAAGCCCTCCCACTAGAAACTCCCCCATGGTTCCCCCCCCCCCAAAGCACCAAGAATACAGAGCATCACTTGCCCCAGACCAAGAGTTCCTAAGAGCATCACTTGCCCCAGACTGAGAGCCCCTATCTATACCTTGTGGCTAATATCCACTGATGGACCTCTGCTCCATATGCTGATCCAATTCCCTCTTGAAGCCGTCCATGCTTGTAGCCGCCGCCAATTCCTGTGGCACTGAATTCCATGTGTTAATCACTCTTTGGGTGAAGAAGTACTTCCTTTTATCCGTTCTAACCCGACTGGGAGTGCCCAGGAGTTCTTGTATTGAGAGAAAGGGAGAAAAGTACCTCTTTCTCAACCTGCTCTATCCCATGCATCATCGTGTAAACCTCGATCACGTCACCCCCCTCAGCCGTCGTTTCTCCAAGCTAAAGAGCCCGGAGCACTTTAACCTGTCTTCATAGGGAAAATGTTCCAACCCTTTGATCGTTCTAGTTGCCCTTTCCTGCAGTTTTCTGACGCCCACCACTGAATCAGCTCCGCTCTCAAACACACGTTACATGCACACACACAACAAAACTGCACGCCGCACCTCCGCAAACCAGAAAGGAGATAGCACAAAACAGGTTATTTGCAAAACTAGAATTTTGACTATTAAAAAAAAACTTGCACCCAAGTTAACACCACATCGGAGAGGGGGGGGGGAGAGGAAACAACACAAACGAAAAGAGCCACCCCACAGCCATTATCTCATCACGTGAAATTTCCAAATCCTTTATACAAGACATCATCCACGGCTGAACCGTTGCTAGAGTTAGTCAAAGCGGGTCTGTCCGGAAGAACAGGAAGGGGGGAAATAATAAAGAAACATCCCCAACGCAAAATACTGTTGTGTTACAAAAAAAACCAAAAAAAACACAACCCACAATATGACAATATAAATAACTTCTCTCTTTTTTAAAAAAGGTAACAAAAACCCACAAAATGAAATCAGTAGTCATTCTTGAAGGGTGGAGGGGTGTGGGTGGGGAAGATCACAGGCCTCCAGTTATGTAAAAATCTTCAGTCTGGCTTGAGGCCGCCCAGGTGGGGCGGGGTCTTCGCCCCCCCCCACTGAACATTTCCGTGCCACCTCTCGACTGCCGCCGAACGGAGCGACTGACGGGAGGCGGGTCTTGTGGAAAAGAGTGCCAGAACTTCTAAAAAAGTACGAGAGTCAAAGTCTTTCCCTCTGCAGGAAAAGCGTAGTGTTTCACATCCTTGAGGACTAGTGCCTTTAAAAGTTTTTGTGAGCGATTCCAGACAGTGGCAGCTGGCTGTCCAAAGGCGGTGTGGGGGTGGGGGGGGGGGGGGGGGGGAAGCCAACGGCTAATTCTGGACCACCGCCCTCCTTCCTGGTGCTGCCGCTCACGCAGGCAAGATGAAGCCGGGCACAGCACGGCGGCTCAGAATGAATGCTGCCACCTGGTTCAAAAACCTGTTCCAAGATGTGGAGGCGAGCCCAGCTGTTTTAGCAGGGCCCCCCGGATCCCAGTCCAGACTGCTGGCCAGGGCGCACGAGACGGGTCCCTGTCAGGACGGACGCGTTGTAGTGTTCTGCTCGCTAGGCCGCAAAGAGGCTCAAACGGGAAGCCCTGTGCCCCCAACAGACTTCCCTGCCCAAGTCAGATCTGGAACTCTGTGCTCGGGAGGACGCCTTCGGCAAGCCAGGCAGGCGCGCGGGGAGCAAAGCACAGGCCGGCTGCAGCCCAGCCGCACCTCCTCTGCCACCCCACGGAGCGGAAATGCCTTGCGAAGGAAAGCCGTGGAGAGGGAAAGGCCCGTGAGCGCAAAGGCGAGGCGGGCCCGCTCGTGAGAGTCCGTGCTGTGGGCCTTTGCTAGGTGACCCGGGCAGTGCTTCTCACAAGGGGAAACGCCACACCGGAAGCGCAAACTGGGGGCGCCACTGCACAAGAGCTCGGAGAGAGGTCCACACACGTCCCGGGACTGGTTGGACAGTGGCCCAAGCGGCTTCCCTGTGGGGAGGAGGTGGAAAGGCACTCCGCCCCACCCGAGGGGGACATTCCTCCGCCAGAGACGAAAAGCGAAAGCCTACGGGGGCATCTCCTCGTGCGGCGTGCCCCTCCCTCTGAGGAGGAGACAGGCCAAGGGCGGCTTTGTACGGAGAACCCCGAAAGCTTGGCCGGATCCTGATTACATCGGGGTGTGTGTGGCCGGGAGGCAGAGCTGCAGGGCTCCGAGTCCCGTTATCGGAGCCTGGAAAGAACGTGACCGTGTGGAGGAGTCCTGTAACGTGCACCCTGAAGTGTCCCCCTCTTTAAAAAAATAAAAACCCCGACCCCCTGTCGTGCATGCAGAAGAGCCCGTACTGTACAGCATGCAACGGCAAGGCCTGGAGCCCCCCCCCCCGTGAAGAGACCCTCCTCGGCCCTCCCTCTCCATCAACACAGCTGCACCGATCCCAAGAGGTGCCAAGGGTGCCCCTTGAGAGGTCTGTGCCCACCGCCACTCCCAGGGGCAGGGGCAGCCAGCTGGGACACGTGCCAGAAGACCCCCTTCTCCTCGCCTGGCTAGACCAGAGCACAGGAGCGGCCTCCCATCTCCCCAGCCTCACCTGACCTCGGCTGGGATGTCAGCACTGCGACAAAATGAAGGCCAGGTTCAAAAGCTCGGGGAGGGCGCCGACGGGCGGGCAGGCGCGGTGGCCAGACGCTCCGACCCAAGCAGTCCCGCGGCACTGCTGACGTGCCAAAAGCATGTGGCCCCCGTGCCCCCACGTCCTCCTCCTGCTCTCTGCTCTGCAGACCCCCGACGAGGCTCTGCTCCTTTTATCACCTCCCCCAGTCAGACGCCGCCAGGGGGCAGCCTAGCCCCCCCCCCATTTTCCGGCACGGGAGGGGGGGGGACCAGTGACCAGCGTAGGGCTCCAGCCGGGAACACACATCTGGCCAGGCTGCGTCCACACAGGCTGACAAAGTCCACAAGCCCCATTTTGGGAAGGCAGAGTGGGGAACTACGAAGCCGGCGGAGGATGAGACGGCCCAGGGTCCGAGCAGCAAGCGGCCGCGGCGCACTGCTAGAAGCCAAGCAGGAAGCGGCAGGAAGCGCGTGCAGGGACTGTTGGGCCCTGAGGTCTGCTTCCTTCGCGACAAGCCCCGGCCAAGAGCAGCGCTGCGGAGTCCTGGGCACAGTCGACCCCGTGACGAAGGGCGGCTGAACAAGCAAGGTGAGCGGCTCCCAGATTCGGACACGGAGCCCGGCCGAACCACCTCTGGCGAGGAAGGGTCAGCGGAGACCCTCCCCTTCGAAAGGAGCACAGCTTCTTCCTGCCGATCCCAGGCCACGAGTGGCGGCTGCAGGCGCACATGGGTGAGGAGGCTCCTCCTTTCCCGCAAATCGAGGGGCAGCAGCCACCGGCAGCGCCCTGCGTCTCCTCCCGCCAGAGGTCGTGAACAGCTCCCGGTTAGGGTTTTCCCTGGGCTGGGAAACGCCCGGAGGTGGTCCGTGGCTGTATTACCCCTCCCGTCTGCAGCCACAGACACACACACCCCGAAGCTGAATTCATGTGTGTGCATGACCCGTGCGCGGTGCGCCCTTTCCCGATGGCTCCCCACCCACCCTGGAAACCCAAGTCGGGAGAAAGGCTCTCGCTGCCGGAAAAGAAGAAGAAGAAGAAGAAGAAGAAGAAGAGAAGGCAAAAACAAAGCCGCCTCCAGCGTCTGATGCCGGAGACGCCCTCTGAGTTCTGGCTCCCCTCTGCCAATCCTCCTCCTCGATTGGCCAAACAACTCAGTGGCGATTAGGAACATTTCAGTCTCTTAAAACACAAACCCAATAAAAGCCCTCCCCGGTCCTGGTCGCACCTCGCAGCTCAGTAGTACAGAAAAGGGGGGGTTTGGGGAAGCCACCCTTCCGGAGATGGGGATACAATAGTGGCAAGCCAGCCGGCGGGCGGGCAGGCAGGCAGGCTGTCCAGGGGATGAGTCTCCAGTTCAGGGGCCTGCTGCTCCAGTTTCATCAGCAGGACAAAAAAGGACAGCCCTTGTGGGGGGGCAGGCCCCTTGCTGCGCTGCTCTGCACCCCCTCGCTCGGCGGACACGAGGACCCCATCCCTGCGAGGGGAAGAGGGCAGGAAGGTGCCGCCGAGGTCCCGTCATCGCTGGCGGATTTCCAGTTGCTTTGGAGGACTTGCCAGGGACGATGGCGGTCTCTCCTCCCTCTTTTTTTGGTAAGACGTCCAGTTCCTGTGGCCCCCCTCTCATCTCATCCGGTTCTGTCTCATCAGCGGTACGATGCAGGACGGGGAGCCGGCCTTCCCCAAGAAGGGGTGCTTCAAGAGTTCGGTCGCTGTGGCTCTCTGGGCCGGATCCCTGACCAGCAGGCGGTCGAGGAAGCCCTTCAAGAAAGGGGAGACCTGCGGAGAAAGGAAAAGCGGCCTGGGTGACTGGGGCGGGGAGAAGAGGGGCAGCGTTCCCAAAGGCAGCTCGGCTTGTGCTTCCGTCACTCCTGGAACCCGAAGACTTCACTGGCAGTGTGCCTTTCTGGGCAAAGCTCTTCTCGGGAGCCACAAATCCTTCCAGCGTGGGGGGGGGGGTGAGGAGTCACATAGCTCCCCCCACATGACCCATCGCTTTAAACATACCCTTTGGGCCTGTCTAGCTATTCAGTCTTTGAGGGAGGAAGCAATTACTCGTTTTAAATGTTTTAATTGTTTTATTGTAAATATATGCTGATTTTATGTAAGCCGCCCTGAGCCGGCCTTGGCTGGGAGGGTGGGGTATAAATTAAGAGAAATAAATCCCTCTATATAATAATTCTATTTTGGTGGTGGCACGCTCCTGAACATTCCAACACGCTCCCAAATCAGTTGGCTCCCTGATGTGTCACTCAGAAGCTGTCCCGATCCACTAGCTGTGTTGCCTGAGTTTCGCCTCCAACATTCTAAACAGTTTGCTGTGCCTCTCCCCCCATAGCCAGTGAGAACACAGAGGTCATTTGCATATGCGGCCTGATTGGCCTTTGCCTCTAACATTCTAAACAGTTTGCTGTTGCTGTTGGGAGTCATTGTGTCCTAAGGTAAAATACATTTCCCCTTAGTGCCTGTTGGGGGGACCATTGTTGCCAATCTCCAGGTGAGGGCTGGAGAGCACTCAGAATTACAACTGCTTTCCAGATGGCAAAGATCAGTTCCCCTGGAGAAAATGGTGGACTCTGTATCCTGATATCCTGCTGAGATGGCCCCCGTATGACAGCCAATGTGACATAGCAGTCAGGGCTTCAGAGCACGGTAGAGGCTGCAGGTGAGGGGTGTGTGGAAAGCTGAAGAGTGAGGGGGAAATGAAGGTAGGTTGAGGATTGGCTATGAAAGAGACAGGGTTGCCAACTCCAGGTGGGAAATTCCTGGAGATGTGAGGGATGGAGCCTGGAGAGGGTGAGGTTTCAGGAGGGGTGGGACCTCAGACAGGTACAATACCATAGACTCCACCCTCCAAACCGGCCAATCCCTCATGGGGAACCATTGTTGCCAATCTCCAGGTGGGGACTGGAGATCACTCAGAATTACAACTGCTCTCCAGGAGGGAGGGGGGAGGAGATGGAAAGCTGAAGTTAGAGGGGCAGATAAAAGTTGGTTGATGGTTGGCTGGGGAGGAGACAGGGTTGCTAACTCCAGGTTGGAAAATTCCTGGAGATTTGAGGGGTGGAGCCTGGAGAGGGTGGGGTTTGAGGAGGGGTGGGACCTCAGACAGGTACAATGCCATAGACTCTACCCTCCAAACCAGCCATTCCCTCATGGGGAACCATTGTTGCCAATCACCAGGTGAGGGCTGGAGATCACTCAAAATTACAACTGTTCTTCAGGTAGCAAAGATCAGTTCCTCTGGAGAAAATGGTGGACTCGATGTCATTATACCCTGCTGAGGTCGCCACAGCAAATTGACACTGAGTGCCCAAGGCCGGGGCACCTGCCCAAAGCCTCTTTCTAGATCTCGTATTTATTTCCACAATGGGCCTTATTCCTAGTAAATAAATAAAACAGAATCACACAGAGTTGGAAGGGGCCATGCAGGCCATCCAGTCCAACCCCCTGCTCAGTGCAGGATCAGCCTAGAGCATCCCCGACAAGTGTTTGTCCAGCTGCTGTGTGAGTGTGAGGCTGGCTTCCACTGGTTCAATTAAAAACATGTGGATGAACTGAAAAGGTGCCCGTGATTAACCAGACATCAAATATCCCTTTCTCTTACCCAACATCCCTCATCCTATTTGTTTCCGATTGAGAGGGGCCCCCCCGGCCCTGATCTCCCCAGGGCAACGAGTAAAAGGAGGGAGTGGGAGAGGGCCCCCGGTTTACCTTGTGCGCATTTTTCAGCTTGGGGGGCAGGTTGTCTCGGATCATCTTCATGGCCTTCAGGGGGGGCTCGTTGAAATAGGGGGGCTCCCCGTCGACCATTTCTATCACCATCACGCCCAGGGACCAGATGTCCACCTGCAGCAAGGGAACAGAGGAAGGCGCATGGAAGTCAGCTAAGGTGGCGCACGGTCTCTCCAGGGAGCACGGGCCGAACTGCTCCGAGCGTCGGTTTGGAGAGGAAGAGGCAGCGTCTCTCCTGTGCCTCTGGATTCTCGGCCTGACCCATCCGGAGGTCTCGGGAGGGGCAACCAAAGCAGGAACAAGGGGCCCGGCAAAATGGGATCCCGAAGAGATTGGCAGCACCTCAGTTGGCCCCCTCCTCGACTGGTCTAGCCCCCCCGCCCCAAAGCCCAGGCCAGGCAGGGAGGCCTTGCTCTTACTCAGGCGAGTCTGGAGCAGTTACGAGAAGGCCTCTCCTACCAGCCGAGCCCAAATCGGCTCTCCAGGACCCCAGACAAAGGGCTTCCTTAGCCCTGCCCCCGGAAGGACATAAGGAGAGCCCTGCAGGGTCAGACCAAAGGCCCCCAGTAGGTCCAGGATTCTGCCCACTCAGCGGCCGATCAGGTGCCTCCAGGAAGCACATGCACTTCCAAGACCTTCGGGAGACATCACAGGCAGTGTTCCCTCTAAGCTGAGTTAGTGTGAGCTAGCTCACAGCTTTTAAGATTCCAGCTCACAGATTTTTGTCTTAGCTCAGGAAGGAGGGCTCCAGAGCAAACTGATTTATACAGGACCCAAAAGTGGGCCACAACAAAGCCTTTGAACGTGGACCGTGGACCAGCCCTCCCTAACGGCCACCCGTTCAACACCCACTCTGTTCATCGCTCTCTTCTGTATGCTGGAAAATGAGATCCGACCATGGAAACGGTCCCTTCCATGTGTCATACATCACTTGGTATTTTTTCTTCCTGTAAATGTGTCCTGACAGTTACTAGATTGAATTTCTTAGGGGGGATTAGAGGGAAAGAAGAAGAAGAGGAGGAGGAGGAGCTTGGATGTATACCCCGCCCTTCACTACCCGAAGGCGTCTCAGAGTGGCTTACAAACTCCTTTCCCTTCCCCTCTCCACAACAGACACCCTGTGAGGTAGGTGGGGCTGAGAGAGCTCTTGACAGAAACTGCTCTTTTTTCAAGGACAGCTCTGAGAGAACTTGTGACTGACCCAAGGTCACCCAGCTGGCTACATGTGGAGGAGGAGGAGTGGGGGAATCAAGCCCGGTTCTCCCAGATTAGAGTCTACACTCCTAACCACTACACCAGACTGGCTTTGGGAGCAGGAGAGGGGTGGCCAAAGGCTGGATTGAAACCTCCGTGTGCAAAGGCGGCATACGTTGGAATGCCCCTTGCTTGTGGTTCATGTTGGGGGCAGCTGTGCCCTCGGTGCGAAGTTTGTGGGCTTCTCAGAAACATTTGGTTAGTCATTGCAGAAAATGGAATGCTGGAACTAGACGGATTCCAAGGCCACGGTGTGCCGTGGGCACCAAAGAAACCTTTGGGCCAGCCTCGGATAGGTTGCCATACCAAGTAAATTTGGACCTGTGGGCCACCATACCGATGAGGCTGGGGAACAGCTGCCATAGTAGACTGAGTTGGTCCGTGGTTTGGTGTCGTGGTTAAGTGCGCGGACTCTAATCTGGGAGAACCGGGTTTGATTCCCCACTCCTCCACTTGCAGCTGCTGGTGTGACTTCAGGTCAGTCACAAGTTCTCTCAGCGCTGTTCTCTCAAGGGCAGCCCTTGGGAGAGCTCTCTCAGCCCCACCTACCTCCCAGGGTGTCTGTCATGGGGAGGGGAAGAGAAAGGAGATTGTCAGCCGCTCTGAGACTCCGAGTGACGGGCGGAGAATAAATCCAATCTCTTCTTCTTCTTTCCCTGGAAAAAACCCACACACTGTTAGCTACTGTTCTTCTTCTTCTTGGTGTAGTGGTTAAATGCGCAGACTCAAAAATCTGTGAACTGGAATCTGAGCTACTGTTCCTCCTCAGCCAGTACGCAACAATCCAGAATCCCTCGGAAACGCAGGCTCAGCATGGTGAGCGAGTCTCCCCTTGGGAGTTGTGTCCCCCCGCCCCGGAGGAAGGCTCCCTCTTCCCACCCTTCAAAGCCCTCCCTGCCTCCCTCCGCCCC